AAAATTTTTGGATTTTTTTTTTTTTTTTTTTTTGCTTTATGCTTTTCTGGAGAGTGTCGACATTTCCTGTGACAGTTCTGATTCACAGTAATTTCTGTCTTGAAATACACAGTCATTAAAAATCAATGCAAAATATATACACAGTAGTAATAAACATACTGTGGCCATAAGGTCACGCCTCAGAATACAATGTTAATGTAGTTCTGACTTTATCATGCCGTTTGTTCCTGAGGATGGGTTGTGTAGGAAACAGTAAAGAGAAAGATCTGTTTTAGAAGCATTATGTTTCCAACCTGCACTTTAGTCTAACAGTTTCAAGCTAAGTACTTAAGTAGTGAGCTTCATTATTCTGCTAATTACTTGACTTTGCATGGAATTGCTTTTAACTTGAGTGGAAAGGAGAACATTAGAGCAGTGGGTCAGCTATCCCTTTTAGATGAGTGAATTTGATCTATTGGGTAGACAACACATACATATGGAGCCATTTAAAAATTGTGGGTCTGTGAATTCGGAAAAAACAGATTTTGCAAAATTTCCTTCCTTTTAAAGTGAGTTTTATTGTCTCCACATAAAGTGTCAACAGCAAAAGAGAATATTTAATACTGATTATTCATCTAAGTGAGGAACTTACTTGTGAGCATTACTGAGTAATACTGCAAGTGAAGATATTGCTGTCAGAACAGTGAATTTTGTGAGCTGTGCCTAGTTGAGCTGAATTTGGCTGAAAGAGTTTGTTGTCACTGATGTGATAGAGAGCTATTCCTCCTGACCCCCAAAATGCTACTGTTAGGGATGGTAAATTGTTAACATTTTGAAAACAAATGCATCCTTTCATCGTTTTTGGTGGTAGAAAATACTCTGATTTAAGCATCTGTAGCTTATAAGGAATCTGTGCTTATTCCTAAGTGATTCAACAGTTTTCTGAGTGCATAGTTCATGTAGCCCTTTGCCATTGTGCAGACTTCACTTGGACATGCTCTTGCAGAACATCAAAGAAATCCATGCTGGAGTCACTTAGGTGCCTTACTTGCAGCTAAGATGAATTAATCATTGAATTCTCATTGTATATGTCTAAAATATGGACAAAAGGATGGTTCAGGGAAAGATCCAAGTAAGGATAAAGATATAATTGTGGTCTTTTCAGATAAATCAGTCTGTCTTCTGAAACTTACATTGATATGCCTGAACTGTGCAAATGTTGGCAAATATCTCAGAAGACTGTTACTAATAACGTGTAAAGATAGACAAACCTTTAAGCAATAAGATTTAAACACTGAATAAAGTTTTCCAGGAAACAAGTACAGTGATACTTTCTTGTAATTTCCAGTGATTGGAAAAGTGTATGTAGAGTGGCTTTTAACACCATGAAGTAATGTAATATACAGCCTTACAAAAGCTGTCTTTAATCCTCATCCAGCATTCCAAATGTTCCTCATGATTTTCAGTGTTTTTTCATTGGACACAATCACAATCTGGAGTCACTGTAATAGTCTGGTTTATTTTTTTGACTAGTGGTCATCTGTTCTCAGATAATCTGCATCTGTATTCTTGACCAAATGAAGCAGCCTTCCCTTTTTTTGATTCTTAGTTCCTATTCTAAAATACCAGAATTTTTCAAGGAGTTTTGGAAAATTTTTAATGTAAGACCTGTTTTCAGTTCAGCATTTTGGTATCTCCACTTAAACTCTGCATGCATCTGAGTGTTCATAGCAATTTTAATTTGGCCAATATGCATGTCACTAAGGTTTTTGGATTTTTGTGGGGTTTTTGTTTTGTTGATTTTTTTTTTTTTTTTGGTAGTGTGTTTGACAGCTGAACTTCCTGTAGCAGGCTTGAGTTTCTTGTCAGGCTTCCCCTGGAAATACTTCTACAATAGGATGTGCCATTTGATAATCTGTTCTGAGTTTTAGCCTGACATGCATCAGGTTTGTACCTTGATTTCCTCTGTTTCTGGCAGACATATTTTGTCCTCTTTATTCTTCAAGAGGCCCTCTGCAAACTTGTCTGCACAGGTGCAGGATGGATCTCTTCTTGATAACACAACTGAAAACTGAACCTCAATAGAGCAAGTTTGCATTTTCCTAATCATTTTTCGCTTGAACAAGCCAGAATTACTTGAAAGTGTTCCATCTTAGCATGGGTTGAGTAATTCAGCTGAGTTAGAACAGATCTGAAGCATCCTGGGTACCTTCAATACTTGAATACCATCACAGTCCTATGGAAATGGAGACAGTGACTGAAGGTATCGCTGTAGGAGCAGCTTTAGTGTCCTGTGCTGCAGTCACAGCAGATGTATGTGACTGCGTAGGAGTTTGTGTTTGGACTCATTCAGCAATGTTGTGTGCCAGTTGAAACTGAAGTCAGCTTGATGCTATTTCAGTGCCATGAAAAACAACTGAATTAGAAGAACTAGGAAAGCTGACCAAGATACTTGAATTATTTATATAGGTCTCTTATTGACAGAGGAAGAGCTGTATCTTGTCTGGAGATGGCGATACAGTTTGTCTTTCAAAAAACTTAATGGGGAAAAATGCTTGCAAATCTGGTATCATTTATGGAAATAAATATTTATATTCAGACTCTCTCTTTGCATTCACATGTAGAAGGTGAACTTGGTGTTGTTGAGGAACCCAGTAAGCTCATTCACTTTATTCTTTTGTTATCTGTGCAATGTGCACAGAGTGCAAATGTTTAATTGGATAGCACAATTTGAAGGATGAGGAGTTCACTTGAAAGCCAAAGGGGATCATAACAAGTAGTAGAGTTAAGGAAATATCACTGTTCATCTGTCTTCAGCAAAAGATTAAAGTCTAAATTTCACCTGAGCAAAGTAAAAATTAGAAAAATCAGTAAGGCATTTATCTCTAATTTATTGAAAATCGTAGAATGTAAGGGTTGTAAGGTTTGTTATATCTATTTCCCAGCATTTAATAGCAATTTTAAAATTAAATGGAATGAAATATCTTCATTTGTTTCTTGAAACAACTAACAAGACACCTAACAACATGTATTGTTCAGTGTGAGGTATGCTGAGATGTTTAAGTATACTTTTCCATTCATTAAGAGACATAAACAGTCATATCACTCACTACACAGTAATTTTAAGTGTAAAGGCAGCCTAAGAGGTTAACAGAATAAACTCAATAGTTGTAGATTGTTGACTTTTCTATAATTACCTTTGACTTTTCTTTCCCCTCAAAACTTATATCATCACTTTTGTGGCCCAAGCTTATATGGCACTTCTCAAAATCTGGGCTGCTATTACCTGCTTTCCATTTGTTGGATTACTGTGTATTTCTTTGTTGGGGTTTGGACAAATCCCTTTTTCCTGAAGTGGATAATAGAAACTTCAGTGGTGAGATAGCAAACAAGTTACTTTGTAAATGTTAAAGTTTGATTAGAAGGTGGTGTTCTTAACTTGGGCTGGGTGAGAATATAGCAGTTTTGCACAAGTACTTGTGCCTTGTTAGTATAGTCTTACAATTGGTAGTTTAGCTTCTTTTAAAGACGTGAAATGGTCTTTTAAAAATAATTAAGTACTTACTGTGTAGATATTTTCTAGAGATGAAGGTTTATGTATGTGTAATTATCTTTAGCAGTATTAACTGCAGTTAGTAAAAACACCAAATTGTTTGAAGAAGCTGCTTTCAGCTAGTGATCTGAGCTTCCTCTACAAAACTAATTGTCAAATTTAATTTTACTCTTCCAGTAGCAGCTGGTGAACCGAAGAGCCTATCCTGTTCTTTGTGCTGCATGGGTCAAGTTTTCACTTAATAAAACCAAACCCCAACAACACTACAGTCTAACCTTTAGCAGTGCTACCTCCTTTCTGTCAAAGTGCTGAATTCTTCTCTAGTTGTTTGTTGTCTTTGGGAAGGGATGGGGAATGCATCAGTTTTCTTTTGCTTCAGTTTTGATGTCTGAATACATTGCGGAGGTTTTTTTACTTTATAAAAAAAATTACTGTGTAAATTGCTTACAATAGCAGTGTGTGATTTGCCACAAAGTACATTGTATACCTGTGCATATGTTGCTGGAATTCATACTGTTGTCTTTTTCTGCATTTCATAACTTGTTTGTGTTGACAAAGCTAAACTGTTGTCTGCAGAAGCTTTGCTATGTGCCATTTTTATAGCTAAGCCTGTGGTAAATACGCAAGTTCTGACTCAGGGCTTTTTAACAACTTAAACACATTCACAATATTCTTCAGCACATCTTGGAGAATACTAGAGATTTAATGACTGTACAGTGCCTTGATAGAACTATTGAATGGGCAGGAGCCATAGGGTCTTCACAGAATGCAAGTATCTTTTCAATCCAGTTAATGAATTGACGTTAATATAATATAGTTTTAATGCCCTTGCCATGGATTTATATACTTGTATATACTTTCTGTAAAGGAAAATTGGCAAATTTAGATATTGTTAAGCTTTCTGAAAGCTTTTAATTGTTGCACTGGTCATGAGGATCTGAAGGGCATAATACTCAAATTCACAGAAGCAGCTTTTGTGTCAAAGACAGCTGAGAAAATTTTCTCAGAGAAAAATGTGGCGTTTTTAGTGTGAGGGAGAGGTCATTGTATAACATGCAAAAGTACCTGCTTTACTCTGATCTAGTAAATCTTTTGTAAGTGAGAGAAATAACCAACAAGTCAGTATGTTTGCATGCCGTTTCATTGTTAGAAAACTTCGTGTCATTTTGAGCTCCTAGGAAATACTTACTTTGTCCCAACATTAGTGTCTTTATGAATG